ACTGTCTTGTGGCTGTCAAATGGTTGATCTGTCTGAGAGGCTAAGAGGGCTGGATGGGTACTGTGGTGTCTAGTATATGGTGCTTGGAAGGGGCTGATTAGGGGCGGAGAGGTAGCTGCAAGCACCGGTCGAGTTCGTATCAGATTGGAAGGGGACTGATTAAGTGATTCCAGTACAGTTTGGGCTGTATAGTGAAGCTTCTGAGTGCTGCAAAGCTCCCTGGTAGACCAGCGGGTTGATGGCTACCTGTATACATAGTGTATTGTGACCACATAGTTGGACCTATTTGGGTCTTGTACACTTGGATTTGTAGGGTTTGTTTAGTTTCTTTGGTTTGGTTACTGGTATGGCTGGCATGGGCTAGGCACCATCAGTAAAAGACAGGCCCCACTGACTGTTTCAGTCCGTCACTACCTCTATGTTTTTTATTTGTTTAGGTTTTGTGTTTTGATTATAGACAGTAGGTGTAGGTCCCTCTTACCAGTATGCTCTTCAGAGACAATTGGTAAAGTGAGTTCATAGAGTCGATGGTCTGGCATGCAGGTACGAGAGGTGGACATGTAGGTCACCTCCTCCCTGCCTTGGTGTCGCCTATGTAGTTAGATTGTTATTGGGTTTTCTTTTTTGGTAGATGGGCTGCAAGATGGTATACAGACTAGGTGGTAGGGTTTTTATGTTTGTTGGATGAGGAATCTGATCGTGTTGGTCTTTTGTCCAGCTTTGGCTACACTTAGTCCTGGTTAGCTTCATACCAGAGGGGCTACAGACTTGGACAGGGAGGGTGTTGGGTTGTTTGATGGTCTTGTAATTAGTTTCTTTGTGGGCATGACTCAGGGATGGTAGGTGCAGGACTGGAGACTTAGTTAGCCTGTAGTTAGTGGTATACCGGTTACTGGTATCCCTGTACCAGCAAGGACTCATTGTATGTCAGTATTGGCAGTATCAGTTTAAACAAAATTAGATTAACTTCTAAGTACTTTCCTCATCCTTGCCTTCACTCTGCCTCAGTGGTAAGCTTCTGTATTCATAATGATCCTTTTCGCGGGGCAGTTATCAGGGTTCACCTGGTATCCTGGTGATCATGGATTGTTGTGTAGTTGAGCACTTGTCTACTTGTTTGCTTCTTATTTTGTCATCTGCTGGTTATCTCATGATACTGGCACTTCAAGCTATTCCTAACTGTCACTTTTGAGCTGCTTTTGGTAATACATCTTCAGCCTCCTGTCTGTTCTCTTCTCACATGTTTTGTGTTTGATTAGGAAGCATTGAACATTGTATTTGGGGGAATCACCTGTATCGTTCTTTGGGCCAGCTAATCTTTCTATTGGGCTTTAATGGAGTCCTTAGTTCTCATGATACAAAATGCCCATGGGTTCGCTTGATCACCATCCTGTGTCTCAACTCATTGTACTGGTCATATCATTCCTCAGGTGGTAGGACACTACCTACCCAGTCCCTCCTCATTATATTATGTTTTGAGAGTCGGAATCCTATGTTGTTATTTATCACTGTTTTCTTGGAGTTTATATCCTTGTGACTTTGTAGTAGTTCAGTCAGGTGTCTCCTTCACACCTCAGTGAAGATGGCCTTTACCCTGAAAGCCTTTACCCCCTAGCTTAGTTTTTCTTGACTGCCTAGAGTAGTGTGGGATAATTAACTGCCAGACACTCATGTTGTCTGTGTGTGTGGGTGGTTTGGTTGTGGATTGTGGTTGGCAACTTTACCCATTGCAAGTAGGACCTACCCTTCCCTAGTCTACTTCTGTTGCTTCACACTCTCCCTGTAACGTGTTCGCAAGGTGCTAATCACGTTATCGGTAATAGATACGATAGTTGGCAGGTGACCTGCTCTTCCAGAGAGGAGGCGAGAGCTGAAAACTAAAGGAGGCTTCGAGGGCGTACTGAGGAACAAAGAAGTAACCGTTCAACCAAGTATATTGAAATACTGTCTGTCGAAGTCTGCCTTTTCTATCGTAGAAACAGGCGGTCTTTAAATACACTAATCTGTTCATGTCTAGCATGAACGAAACTAATCAAAGGTATCAATTGATACACTTTGGTAAAACTCTTTAAATATCAAAGCGATACTTAAAACAAACATAAAGTAAAACCAAGTATCAAACGATACTTAAAACAAACCAAGTATCAAGCAATACTTAAAACAAAACATAAAACAAAACCAAGTAACCGAGTACCCGTACCGGTTACACTCCCCCCCATGTTACACCTGTTGGGAGTACCTCTTGCCTGTTATTTAATCTGGGCTTTTTGTAGGACCTGTGGAGCTGTTCTTAGATCATCCTACATGACTTCTTCCCAGCCCGATTGGACTTTGGTTCAGTTGGATTGGATGGTATGGCTGGTACCGATGCCTTCAGGTATTGGTACTGCATTCTTTATATTACTTGGCTGAGGCAGGTAGCCCCTCCTCTACTATACATTGCCAAAGGATAGTGCTCTATTAGTGTGACCAAGAATACTAGCTGCCCAATGGGGCTAGGTATAAGCTGTCCTGTGGCTATTAGATAAATAATCAGTCTAATGGGCTGAGTGGGCTGGAAGGGCTCTGTAGTGTCTAATGGGTGGGGCTTAAGGGGGCTGGCTGGGGGAGGAGAGATACGTACAAGCATTAGTCGGGCCTGCATCAGGTTGCGCGAGGTTTAATTAAATATTTCCAACCTGCTTGGGCTGTTAAGATGAAATTGTTAAGTGCTGTAAAGCTCCCGGATAGACTGGTAGGTTGACGGCCACTTGTGTAGATCGGGGGTTGCGACTACCTTATTGGACTTGTTTGAGTCTTATGTGCTGAGCTTTGTGGAACTTATTTGGTTTCTTTAGTTTGGCTATAGGTATGGCAAGTAGAGGTAAGACACCACAGGTGAGAGATAGGCCCCACTGACTGTTTCAGTTTGTTAGCACTTCTATGATTTTCTTCTATTTACAGGGGTTTTGTTTGATTACAGGTAGCAGTTACAGGTCCTGCTCAGCGTATACCCCTCAGAGAAAACTGGAAAAGTGAGTTCATAGGGTTGATAGCCTGGTATATGGATATGAGAGGTTGACATGTTGGTTCTCTCCTTCCTGCCATGGCGCCACCTATGTTGTTAGATTGTTTTTTGGTTTTTGTTTTGTAGTGGTTGTGCTGCAGAACAGTATACAGACTCAGTGGTAGTAGTTTTATGTTTGTTGAATGAGGAACCTGGTCGGGTTGGTCTTTTGTTTGGCTTTTGCTACACTTAGTGCTGATTGACTTCATATGAGACAGGCTATAGACTTGGACCAGGGAGGGCGCTAGGTTGTTTGATGGTCCTTTAATTAATTCTAATATGGGCATGACTCAGGGATGGTAGGTGTGGGGCCATAGACTTAGTTAGCATAGGATTAGTAGTATACCGGTTAGTGGTATCCCTGTACCAGCAGGGGCTCGTTGTATGCTAGTGTTGGTGGTATGAGTTTAAATAAAATTAGATTGACTTCTAAGTCCTTTTTCTTCTTATTACTTTAATGAATATAAATCACCTTCACATTCTTTATTATTATCATAACCTTTATTATCAAGCTAAGAAAACTGTGTACGAGACAGAGTTAGAGAAAGCTTATGATAGGCATTACGGATAGAAGATAATAGTCTTGTACTATCAGCAACGTAGGCAGAGGCCTAAGAGCTATTGTATAGAAGGAGATGAAGAGAGAAGAAGATAAGTATCATTCCCCATCGCCAAGAACTAACTATCCTAAGGGGGATCATTACAGAATCTTGGTTGACCCAGACAACTCTGAAGTCTATTATGTTGTCTCCGCCTAACACAACCCCACTGGGCCCATGGTGCAACTGCAGTTAAATATGTCTTAAATCATGAACACTTCTGACAAGGCACTGTACTATTGAATTTATGGGAGATAATTTGCTAGATGGAAAGTTACCTTATATCATACATTCTTAACTTGAATAGTAGTTCTAATAATATTAACTACAATAAGTTATTTGATATTCTGAAGGATTACAATAAAAATTATATACTTGGTAAACTTTAACTAAGGATAAAGCTTTACCCAAATATGGGAAATCTCTATAACATGCATATACTTGTAATTTATCAGTAAACAATTGTTTTTGTTTTTTTTCCTCCTCAAAGAACGAGTATCAGAGCGATAACTAGGGCTTGCCGTGGGCTTTATCGGAGGACCACGGGTTTTTTCCTCTGCTGTTTTTATTTCATCATCCCTAGCCCTCTTGTGAAAATAAAGGATAGAACAGCTGTGGAGTAAAGGGTTGTTAAATTTTCAATATTATAATATTAATAATTATGTACTATAATTAAATTTTGTTTTTAGCACTTTTTCCATTTTCCAATATTTTATTGTACCTACAGTTTTATTGTTTTTGGAGCTAGATACATTTCCAATAGGAAAGTACTCGTACCCCTCAGAATTATGACCAACAATTGCACATGACATATCAGCTTTAGAGCCAAAGGACTTCTATACTCCAATACTGTTGGCAACAATTAGCAGTGAATAAGAGACTGATGGGATTCATACAGGATCTCTTTAAATACCACTCTGGTACACATAAATAACAAGTTGAAAGACTGGATGATTATTTGGATAAGAAACATCTATATATAGCACTCCGACCAACAGCGTCCCGTATTATTAGGGCTTGGGAAAACATTAGTCATATTAGTATCATACTTTTGCTCTAACCCGCGGGCCCACGGCAAGCACTGTTGGTATCATATCTGTTCTGGTCGCGGTTGAGTACCTGGTATACATGGCTAGTGAGGACACTGCGGCTAGAAACTAGCTCGATATGGAACCCCTCTAGGACCTGTTTGGCAATGCTGCGTTCCATTCGTCGACCGTTCGCCATACAAAGTGGCTGTTTCAAAACGGAAGGAAAAACATTTTTGTATGGGGAACGGTCGACGAACGGTCGCAGCGTTGCCAAACAGGCCCTAGAGACACCGCCATCACTGAACTCTGTTTCGTAGGGCTGGCTTTGTTGTCGTAGGATTCTGGCATTGATGCTATCACAAATAATCACTCGCTGAACCCCGTTCCCGCGTCCAGACAGCGATCACTCATCGTTAACACTAAAATCGCTCTCCCCACCACCACTTGTCCAAACCTCTACCCCTTCCCAGTCTAATAAATATACCTAAAATTGATCTACCAAATCCACCCAATTAGCTCTCACCTCCCCAACAAACAACAATCGTGGAGAAAGAAGACCTACGTTCTCCTTATCCGTCAAGTCTCCAAACGCTGTCGCGTCCAGATCTCTCTCAATGCCCTCCTGTAGTTTATCCCTGCGCTTGTTCTCTCTAGAAAGAAGAAAGCGCAGGGCTAGGATTAATACCACCTCCACCAGGTGGCAGAATATTATCGATGAGATGCCGAGAGTGTATGTTGGTCTTTGGTCCGCTTTGTAGAAGAAGGGGCCGGCGATGTTGCCCACTGCTCTGGGGGTTAGTGCTAAGGTTCAGAGAGGGGAGAGGGGGGAAGGTACCGCAGTAACCGAGAAAGAGCATGGCATTTGTCACAACCTTCTTGGTGTGGCTGGGCGAAGATCGGTAAGCTGCCCTCCTCTATGGTGTGCTGATGGGGGTTTGCTAGATTTTGGCAGAGACGTAGACATACCCAGCGACATTCCCGATCTGCAAAGAAAGTATTAAAACGAATGCTGCATTATACGGACCAGTGAGCTACCCCCCCCTCATAGTCAGTTCCTAGACCCAACGCCAGCAGACACCAGGGACTTGAACAGGGAACGTACATAATAACAAATCAACCTCCCGATATTGCGCTCCTGGGGAACAAACATGAGGCCGAATGCGCCAGCAATATTCGGGATCATGAACACGATGACCATATAACAGCGACTGTTAGGTGGCAGGCGGTCGTTCACGAACACGCACGCAATAATCGACAAGGAGATGACAACCCCATAAGGAATCTGCAGGAGGGTTGTTACGACTAGAAATAATCCGAATTAGCCAATCGGGGAGCCCAGCATCGAGATTGGTAAGGGCGGAACTTACGGGTTGAGAACTCGAATCCTTTTATTATAAGTGTTCCTGTAAATCGAAAACAAAATTAGGTTGTGCTTCTAGTTCCCCTACTTCCTCTCCCGTATCCCATCCAATCACCCATCTTGGTGATACCGGTACCATACCAAAATTGCTAATCCCACCATTCGGAACATTACACACGATCCCCAGCAAAAAGAACAAGTAAACCTTCGTATCACAAAAAGCCTCCGTAATCTGATACGGTTTGAGGGTCTTGTTTTCAATTCCTGTTTGGTCATCCCGAAGCCTCCGGACGGCCATCCTCCGCTCCCCTTTGGTCAAAAATCTTGCCGAGACGGGCGAATCGGGGAGGAAGATGAACATTACGATTCCCCATAATGAACACAGGGCTCTATATTAGGTTAAAACCCCGCACATGTGATTTCACACGTGGTTTGAGCCTCACTGCGGGGCAGGGTGGAGGGGTGGAAGGAAGAGGGGGGTTATGATACCCAATGATCAAGAACTCATATTTCCAACTCGCTAGCGCTCCCTTAATATGGCCAATTCCGTAACCCAATAAGCCGCCACCCGCGATTCCTAGGCCATTGGCCGAGTACCAGAGACCTATACGGATCGGCTGTTGATGGCGAGTATCTACAAAGTTCATTTATATCCAAGTTAGAGCTGACTAATTCTTCTTATGTGTGCACATTTTTTCCCTTTTTGTGCATTTTGCAGCAAGCCCGGGAAAGTACACTTAAGTGGTAATGTTGGGGTGGGGGGGTGTGGAGGATCATACACCACATGGAGGTGATTATCATGAAGGCAGGGTCGGCGCAGGCTTCTGCCGCACCGCTAAGGACACGTAGGACAGCCAGGCTCAAGAAGTCCTTACACGCAGCCTGCCCCACTGATTGGTTTCGTTTGAACGGGTTAGTGGAAGCTTTCCCTTGGGTGGGCTGCGTGAATCAAAGGCGCGCGATCCTGACGTTTTATGTGAAAGTGGAGACAAAGCAGAGGGTCTTACTCAAGAAGAACCCCCACATGAAGATGTTGACCCCGAGATACTTGCCTACCTGTGAGAAGCAATTGGCCCCAGTGGCCGATGTCAGTCATCAGTCTCCGACATAGAGCACTGTACCTCAGCGGGCCATTAGACCAGCAGGCCGACCGGCAAGAGCATCCATCATCGTCATCGCCACCATCACCACCCTTCATGTACGCATCGAAAAGGGTAAAAAAAACCATCATAAAAGCACAAACATACCGGTAACCTCTGCAACAAGAGGTTCGTTGGAAATGCCCAGACTTGATATCACATCATACATCCCCTAGTTAGCTCCTTATATTTCCTTCTCCCTTTGAATCCGCGGGGGCGCAAATATGGGACCTGACCTACAAAGGAAGCCGAGGTAAAACAGCGAAGACAGCCAGTTGTATTGTGTCCCGCGAAGACGCAAGTCTTGCTCAATTCCAAACAGCGCTGCGTATGAAAGTGTCGTTTTCTGTTATTTGAGCACAGATTTGTTCAGGTTAACCGTGGTACAGTGCAGATGATGCGAATATCGTGGCTATCAAGGTGAGGTTTGGAAGGGGGGAATGTCTCACATCAATGTAGAAGAAGCAGTAACAGACGGCCAGACTTTTTATGCATCGAAAGAATCTGATTAGCCCCCGTTTTTGGTTCTTGTCTTACATTTTGCTCCTTCAAGCCCTGTCATATTTGGGTGAGGGGAGAGCGATTTGACTGACTATGGCAAAATCATCTTATCAATCTTCCATACCAGTGCTCTCACCTCCTCCGGATCCATTGGCCCGCGAAGCTCCTCTGTGTTTCCGAATAGTGCCATGGTTGCAATTGCTTCTTGCGAACTAGAAGGCGTCCCATATCCGTGAATACCCCCTTCTTCCGCTCCCTCCAAATGTGAAGCTGATCCGTTCTTCATTTTTTCTTTTTTGGTTGTTTCTGCTTTCTTCTTTCTTTTTTACCCTCGGTGTGGGTTTTAAATAGTACTTGTGGGGTAGCTTGTGTGGTAGCTTGTGGGGTAGAATGTGGGGTAGAAATGCGGTCCAGGTGAACGTCAGCAGAATCGGGCCTCAAAGTGGACTGTAATGAAGCCGTAATCCGGGGCGGGTGAACAGGCTAAGATAGGTACCGGTAAGCTGTCGGTAAGCTGTCGGCAAACTGGGGGATGCTCACAGCTAAGGACAAACAAGAAGTAGACGGCATAGTAAATTTACCATACCGGTAACTGATCGGGGGTTGGTTCAATGCATCACGGAACACCGCCAGCGGCATACTCGAGCACAGTACTAGTACAGTGCAGTACAGTAACTGTGCACCCGGTGTCCGCAACATAGTATCCCCGCCGAAATCATGGGCTTCACCAAAACAGCAGTCGTTTGTCTATTGCACTGACTGCCTGCACCACACAACACGGTGAAAAAAAATTGTAAAGAACCCAGGAAATTTTTCATAGTTAATCTCAAGCGAGGGGGTTTCCTTTTTTGCGATTTTTTACGGTCGGAAGTAGTGTCTTTTTGCGCATCAATCTAGAATGACACCCCCGACCCAAACAAACCCCTCCATGTCAGGCTGCAAAACTTCGATCGTTAAGTTAACCATACTTTATAACTTCCAACCAAACCCATCACCTACAAACTACCGATAGCGGGAGCGATAGGCTTCCTAGATCAGAACTGGAGAAAAAGAAAAAAATGCTCTTTGCTTTTTCCCCTAATAGTATGATACTCGAGTAAACGATGGCGGAATTGTTCCTACTACCGGCATGATATATACACGGGTAATGGCGGCTGATCAGGTCTTCAGCCCTACTCGAGTGACATCAGTTGAGGATAACATAGTTATGATATTTCGTTATCAATAACTTACTCGTGTTGTAGACTAGTTTGATCGCTCAAAAGGCCGGACGTCAGTAAGTAACCATGTTTTCACTTGTCCAATTTGGAATCAAGCAACTTGGACCAGAGAATGTTCACCCCGGCCCCCCCCCCCCGTATTTGGGGACCTGACCATTGACTGCCCCGACCGTACTTTCCGCGAACATTTGTGCCACTGTAGATTATGAGCTTTTATCTTCAATATCCCGCTGCCATGCTGAAATCGTCTGACAGTTCATAGAAGCACTACCTTCGAGTCTCTTCTTTCCTTGCATGTTAAAAAACATTCAAGGTCCACTAGAGTCATTGCAATGATCGGTTCAATCATAATCACCTCCGCCAGGCCCCGATAGATATATACGTACTCGAGCACAACCGTGCTCCTCCAGTACGATCCATCCAACAGATAAAAGAACAAGGGGGGAAAAAAAAAGTCATGCACGCGGACAATTGTGCAATTAAGGTATGATGAATTAGGAGTAAAAAACAGTTAACGCGTACAGAAATATAGTAGAAGATGGTCAGGATACTTGTCAGTAAACTTGTCAATCTCCCACGGGTACCCTCCAATCCGCTCCAATAGAATCATTTTATCCTTTCCTGTGACGCCTGCATCGCTCACGTGCAACGTCGGGTCACTCCCTCCGGACTCGCAACGCCTGCGACGCCTGTTCAGTAGTCTAGCGCCTGTACCTTTCGAGAAGCCACAACTAATGCCTTCAAATCCACAACGCAATAGTCTGGAGGCTTCAACCCAGAACCGGCCACGTCGGTCGCTACCCCGCAGACCGCGCAAAAACCTTCGATTCCTGGCCAGGCAGATCCGGCCAATGCCCACTCGAGTTGGCGGACTTAGAAAAACAGGTTTGTTAGCAATTGCCGCGACGCAGAACACAGCTGCTTAATCAAGCTGGTGCAACCCCGTAAAATCTGCTTCCCGCCAATTGGCTCGGCCGTAGACCGACACATATCATTTTAAGCCTCATTTTCATAGAACGAGGGAAATATTTCCTAGAGAAACAGCACGGGCTTATTTTCTAGAGGGCCTGTGTATATCTTCAGGCTCGAAGACCCTTCGCCCCCCGCATTGATCCACCAGATAGTTGCCAAGGTGCACGCAGCCCGCAATGTCTTCTCCTCCGAACTCAGAAAATATGGGGCCACCTACACCTACATCCAGGCAGAGAAGCAACTCGGCCGGCTCGGAACAGTCCAAGGAATCATGTGAGTTGGTGAAACCCTAACCCTAATCATTGCACACATTGCAAGGCTTCAACTTTTTTCTTACTTGTCGAAACCTCGTTCCAGGGCAATACCTCATCCACAATACAGGCAGCTACGCCGGTAGCCCAATGCAACAGTTCTTGACAGAAGAACAGCGCCTGGATCGGATTGTTATTCCCAACACACCCCTCGCGCACACCAATTTCCCCCCACCGTCTAGCTCCCACCCCTCCGACATCTCTGTCGCTGAAGCGGATTGTGGCAGTTCGACAACCTACCAATCCGATAGGATGACTCGGCGCGAGGGGTCTACCTACACCATCTCCTCGACGCCAACCCTGGACAGCAGTTCCTTAACTCCGCTATCGAGTCCCACCCCTTCGACCTCCTACCATCCACAGATGTACGGGCTTCAGGAAGATTCATCGGGGGGGCTGTACACCTACCAGCCAATCAGAACAACCTTCAGAACCGTGACACGACCCAATGACCATCCGTGTCTTTTCTCTTTCAATGGATGCCCCGAGGCATTCGAACGAGCAGATAACTGGGTGTCTCACGTCGATTCCCACTTTGTAGACCAAGAAATCCCACCTCCATCCCCCTGCACATGCTCCGTCTGCGGGAAAATCTTTGGCGCATACGATCCTCGTCTCAACTGGGAACGATTCCTTAAACACACGTTTGATGACCACGTCAGGGATGGGCAAATACGGGAGATTCTACCCCACCCAGACTTTGTCAGGCACTGCCGTGATGCAAGCATGATTTCGGACTTCACCTGCACTCGGTTGGAGGGCCATCAGCGGGCCATCTGTGAGGATGACCGAACACCTAGGAGTAGGAGGGGGCCACAGGGGGGTGCTGACATTGCTCAAGTCCATTTTCCCAGTACCTGGGAGCCCCAAGAAGCTCAGTCCCGAACGGCAACAACTATCATGGTCAACCGCAGCGGACAGGCAAGGGGTGGCCGTTCTCAAACACCTGGCTCCAGTGGGACAGCGTACAACTGACGCCTGGGTTCGTCGTAATCCATCTTCTTGTTCTTATTTTGTGGTTTTGTTGTGCGGGGACGAAAGGCGTTGGGTTCCATTTAAGTGATCCTCCCGTATTATCCTTACTATCATTATTATTGCCATGACTGTTCATGAATTTCTTTGGTTGATCCAATCATATTTTCGATTTTATATTTGGCTTCGCTTCCTTGTATCTGCTGTCGATCCTGTCGGATTGATGGATATTGGGGGGGGGGGGGGGGTGGTACAAGTATCAGAGAAAGTTTTGCAGGCGACAAACTCTTCCTATAACAATCAATTTCAGCTCAATCCTCATCTCTTCTTTCAACTTCTCACCTTATTGTTTATCCAAGATCCTAAGTTTCTCTCCCCATCCGTATCTTGCCAATCAAACATAAGCAACGAGGATCTCTCACTTTAGGGAACATTATGTAGTGCGCAGGCGCGGGAGTAGGCGGGGCTTAAGTACAGAAACTCACCCTCCTTATGCCGCGCGAGCAAACACTGTGGCACCGAGGCTAACACTAGTGGAAGTGATTTGACCCCCCCCCTTCCTCAATACAGCACCGTTACCCCGGAAGCTAGCTGAGGGAAGTGAGGCTTGAAAGTTAATTGGCTAATGATCCCCCCCGTTTGGCACCCGAGCAACGGGAGCTGTTGCCTTAAAGGAGGAGCAGCACACTGACCCCCGGCTGGTCGCACAACCACATCAGAGCCTTAAATTTGGCCAATACCACAAGCTGGTTTAAGCAAAGACAAATCTATCATTTCCTCCATCTTTCTCTTTGCAACATTCTCGCTGCAGGGTCCCCAAACCCCGGTGCTGGGTTCCTCGACTTCACTTACTCGAGCACCGTCATCATCATACTGAATTCACCCGCGACGAAACTGGGGGGGTGAGGATCAGGGATCAGTAACGAGTAATTTTCTGTTACCCTACTTTTGACGATTTCCCTTTTGCTCGCCAAATACCCCTGTTCGCTACCCGTCCGGTTTCGTCGTGGATGCGGTTCGGGCTGTACTGTACAAGTAAGAGGACCGCAACGCGGGCGGGGGGTGTGTTGCTGAGACCTGTCATAGGCAGTCACTCGCTTATCAATCGGTCCGAAACCGAAATCGAAGGCGAACAATGTCCCATTACTCAGGTCAGCGAAAAAATTGGCTCACTAAACCAAATAACTTGATAAAGATTACTCGAACACAGTACCGTATGAACGAGTGGGAGGGAAGACCTTCCTGAAGGAAAAGAAAGGATAACTGTTGAGAAGGAGGGGGGCTTAATCCAAGTGGCAGCCAATCTCCTCATATATTGCGCTGAGCAAGCGCATCCGAATCAAACAGTCATAATCGTGTGCAATGTAAGCTATGACACAATGCCGGCATCTTGATTATCCCTACTCCCCTGTTAAAAAAGCACCTTGGTCCAAAGATATGAAAGAACGTGGCTTCACGTCCCTACGTCACGCGAAAGGCGTAAAAACAACAATCTTGCCACAGCTGAAGAATATGATACTTGTGTCTCCGCGCCGAGAATCGGAAACCTTCTTGGGAAACCTAAGACAGGCCCGTATAGTAAAGTACTATAGAAAAGGAAGACGGGAGGCTAATTCCCGGTTCGGAGACACAAATACGGTACTGCACACTTGTTGCTCCCCAGACTGGGTTTCATGGAAAAATAGGGAGTTTTGATGAGCGAATGTTCGATAATATTATAATAGTGTGAATCTCACAATAGTCTCTATGATAATACAAAATTTAAATTGAATAGAATTGAACTGCTGATTTTTACGTCTGAAGGATTAGGGTTACTCAACCCTAGGATTCCACTCTGAATCCAAGTGGGATACTTTATTACATCCGCGCCAAGTATATCTCCCAGGCCCACCGACTTGGGCGAATCCCCCTCCCGGATATTCTTCCATCTGAATTTTCCTTCACCTCATCACGAACGACCACTAGGCAGCCTTCGAACTCCCTTAACGCCGTTCCCACCGCTACTATCCCATCCGTGTTTGTCACCCTACCAACCTTCCCGTCCCGTATCGCGAATGCCATAGAGTGCGTTTATAGATGTTATAAGAACTAATGCCTTGGAAAGAAACCAAGATGAAGCCCTCCGTGGCAGTTTTTCTGTAGACCAACGTTACTCCTTCAACGTATGCAAAGAGTTTGACCTTAATCGAATCTATCAGCAAGGCTGGGGCTGTTGAATTGGGCT